GCCGGCCCCGCCGCCAGCCCCGCTCCGCGAGCGGCCCGCGGTCCCCCCGCGCACCGGCGGCGAGCCGGGGGGACACGGGACGGGGAGACGGGACCCCGGCTGCCGAGCGGACAGATGCGGCGGGACGAGCCCGGCGGGGACGGTCCCCGAGGGGCTCCGGGTCCCCGCCGGGAGGGCAGGTGAGAGGCTGCGGGGCGGGGGCCAGGATGGGGGATCCGAGGAGGGGGTCCCCATCGTTCCCGCTGCCTAGGAGGAGCCGCTCGGCGCCCGCCCCCCCGAACAGTAAGAGTTGATGTGCGGTGAGCTGCATCCTGCATGTGAGCTCCTACTGCCCCGGGAGGCGGGCCGCCCCCGACGGGACCCCCGCCCCCGCCGCCTCGGGGACCCCCGGGGGTGGGCGAGTGGGGGGAGCCGGTGCTGCCCGCGGTGCGAGTCCGCCTGTCCCGGCGACCATGGCTGTAGACTGTTACCCCCCCAGCGGCACAGTAACAATCTAAAGCCACGGTCGGGACACCCCCCCATCCCCGCCCCTTCCCGCCTTCCCCCCGCCCCCGTCGGGGCGCGCTCCCCGACGGCTCAGCACCACGGACAGCGCCCGCCCCCCCGGCGCTGCGGCGGGGCCGGGGCCGGTGCGGGCCGGGGCCGGTGCCGGCGGTGGGTCATGCTTCAGTAGCCATGACTGTAGACTGTTACTGTCCTGTCCCTACGCAGCAGTAAGCAGTCTAGAGCCAAGGTGCCGACGCTCTGACTCGGGCTCTCCTCGACGGGGTCTCCGCGCTCTTTAGACGCAGAGGGGTGAAGGCGATCGACCCCCGCCTCCTCGGGCTGCGGAGCCGGCAGCACCCGGGCTGGGGACACGGGGCTGCGGGGGAACCCGAGGGAGGTGGCGGTGGCGAGTGCCTGGCACGGCGGCCCCGCGGGACGGGGCTGGGGGGTCCCGTCGGGGGTGGCTGCGGGGAGGCTCGGAGAAGAGGGGACAGCGGCCGCCGGTGTCACCGCGGAGCGGGACACACACGCACGGCCCCACACACGGATGCGCTTCCGCACCTCTCCCCGTCGCCCTCCGCTCCGCCTCACCCCCGCCCCGGCGAGGCAGGTGCAGCGCCCGGTGCCGCGGGGCTCCGCTGCCCCCTCCCGCCCCCGCACCGGGCTTCGTCCCCGCTTACCTGCGGGCCAGCCCAGCCGGTTCCTTACCTCCTGCGGGCCCCGCGGCTGCCGGGCCGGGCAGGGGCCCCGCGGCTCCCGGCGGGGCCGGCGCCGGTGTCGGTGCTGCGCTGTCCGCAGCGCGCGGGGCTTTTATAGGATCGGGCTCGTAGTAACGGGGATCTCGGCTCATTCATAGAAAAGCATCAACCTACACAATGACGTGAGCGCTACGTCAGCGAGGAAATTTAGGGAACGGGAAGACGCTACTATTTATATCGGCGCGGGGGGAGGACAGCGGGCCGGAGCCGGGCAGGGGGTCCGGGCTGCAACAGACCCCGGCCCTCCCCCCGACCCCTCCGGAGACCCCCGTTCCCTGGCTGCTCGAGGAGCGCAGTGGAGCAGCACCCAGCACTCCACATCCCTTCTCCACCTGCTGCCAAACGCAGGGGCCGTGCACCCACTGGGACACAAACCGAGGGTCCTGTCCCCCTGGGAGTGCGGCGTGGGGCACCCCTGCCCCAGACACGAGGGGTCCATCCAGGCACCCCCATCGCCCCTGGGCACTCTGCTGGGCCAGAACATGGCCCCTTCCTGGCCTCATGGCATCACCAGGGAGCTGCTGATCTGGGGCTGTCTGAGCCCCCCGTCATGGCAAGGGTCACACAGGGGTCCCCAGACCCGGGCACCAGCCTGGGGGTGCCCCCTGCCCACCTGCATCCTTCACCCACAGCAATGTCC